CCGCCCGCCGTCCCCCGCCGCCTCGGCCGCCTGCAGCGCCGGCCCACGCGCGGTCATACACCGAGCCACAGCACTCACGGGGCCAGAGGTAGCGTCACACACAGCCACGCACCCTCACGGGGTCACACACTCCCACACTGGCACACACACACACACAGGGTCACATACAGCGTCGCAAACATGACCCACAGCCACACACTCACACAGTATCACCCCCCACGGGGTCACACAGAGTCAAACACTCAAACTCAGACGCAGTCACACGCTCACATGGGGTCCCACACTGGCACAGTGCCCGACAGCCTCACACATAGTGACACACTTGAATAGTGCCACCACCACCCACGCTGTGTCACGCACACACATAGACAGTGTATGTATGTCATACACTGTCGCACACTCCAATGGGGTCACAAGGAGTGTCATACACTCACAGGTCACACACAGTTTCACAATCACACAGTGTCACACACTTTTTTACACGCTCAAGCTTGTCACACCAGTCACACACTCACATGTCACACATCCTGCACTGTCACACACTCATACATCATACAGTCACAAGAGGTCACAAATAGTTAACACCCACAGCCACACACTCAAATAGGGTCACAGTCACACATCCTTACATGACACGTGGGGTTTCCTTCACTGTCACTGTCTAACAGTCACACACTCCCATAAAACACATCTCACACATGTCCCATACCATATCCCCCAGCTTCAGGGATGCATACAGCATGACAGACAGACACAATGTCATCCATCTACAGTGGCACCACAAGGTCACGAAAGAACAGCATCAACGCTTGCCACACGTGGTGTCACACGCAGTCCCCTACTGCAACATAGCGCTACACACAGGGGATGGCACATGGTGTCATCCACAATCTTGCTCTCCCTTGGGGTTACTCACACAGTCCCACAGAGTCACAGGGGCACATATACACACAGTTACAGTGTCACACCCTCCCTCACTTTCTTCCCTCATAGCTTCCAGAAAGCCTTGGGGCACAGTGTGAATCGCAGGTCAGCGTCAGGCCCTAGGAGAGGGGGCGTGAGCCAGGAGAGGTCGGTGGGCGTGGCCCGAGTTTCGGCCCGCCCCCTGCTGGAGAGCAGGGGCGGGGAAGCGGGTCCACCCACGCTCCTCCCAGTTGGCCAGATAGGCCCCGCCTCCCAATCTAAGTGGCAGGCGGAGGGGGCGGTGCTGGGCGGCAGGCAGAGGCGTACCGCCTACTGTCCCGCCCACCGCGTTCTTCCTAGCTAGAGGCGTGGCCTGTTGGGCCCAGAGGCAGGCTGAGGCGTGGCCTTCCGTGCCTGCCCCGCCCCGTCCCTCCCGCCGAAGAAGGACGGAGAGGGCAGGCCGGCAGCCAGTCGGTTCCCGCGCGTCGTGCAACTCTGTGGCCTCGCACCCCCACGACTCCGCAGAATGGCCGTCAAGAAGATTGCCATCTTCGGCGCCACGGGCAGGACCGGGCTCACCACCCTGGCGCAGGCGGTGCAAGCAGGCATGAGCTGGGGTGGGCGGGGGATGTCACCGGGTGCACATGCAGCGCATTAGGAAGGGGCCTCCTGGGACCCGGGGGAGGCTGGTTGGGCCATCAGTACTTTGGTTTGTGACCTAGGGGCAAAGCAGGTGGCGACGGGGACAGAAGTGGGGGACGCTGTGAGATCCAATTTTATGTGAGTCCAAGGACTAGGAATTGGTCCTGGGAGGCAAGGGGGACTCCAGTGACAGGTTTAAATACAGTGCTCTTATGAAACGTTGTTATTGTAGTTGTGGTGGTTGTTAGCGCACCCAGCGAGGGCTTACTCAGCCAGGCAGCGGCTTGCCTCCCAGCACCTACTGCTCTTCATGTGCGATGAGAACTAGTATTACCTCATTTGACAGAAGAGAAAACTGAGGCCCAGAGAGTGACTTGCCCGGTATCAGACAGCTGAAAGTGGTGGTGCTGGGATTTGAACCCAGCCTGTGCTCTTAACTGCCAAAAGTCCACCCGCTCCTGGCCTGGGAGGCAAGGCTGGAAGTCGAGAAGGCTGGGGGGCCTGTTGCTGTGAGCACCTAATGGAAAGAGGATAGCGGAGACATAGGTGAAGGCTTGGGCGCTGGTCGTGGGAAGGTGGGTGAGAGCTGGAAATTCGCAATTGCCTCAAGAAAGGGGATAAGCATCCCGCATCCTCCCTGCCTCCACCATCCAGACTTCACCAACCCCCAGCGGGGCCTGGGACTTCCAGATATAGGACCCCACCCTTGCTGGCCTCAGTGACTCTGACGATATTGACTATCTGGGTGCCCCATAGGGGTGGAGGCTGCTAGGATCTTACTCTCTGATTATCTCGTAGCCCAGCCCACCCTCCGCAGACTCTGCCTGACAGTTCCTCATCAGGCCCACTGCTCACCCCTTCTCCAAGAAGACCTAGTGAGGATCTTGATTTGTGGGGAGGGGGGAAAGAAATTTGCGGATAAGCATTTCTGGGGGAGGAAGTAAGAGGGAGAAGTTGAGAGGTGCTGAGTCACCATGAGGATCTGGATTCCCATGTGACTACCTTACCCTTAATCCTGAATTCCACTGAATTGGGCTTGTCCACCCTGCTGGTCACAGTTGGGACTGCACCCCAGGGAATTGAGAGCTGAGGCCTAGGGGAGGCTCTGCCTTCTCCAGAGCCACAGCGAGCCCCTAAGCCTCACTCTCCCCATCAGAAAAAGAAGAGCTTGATTGAGCTGGGATTTTATTTACCTCAGTGATTCTATAGGCTGGTACTCTGACACTTACCACCTACATGGTCAAATGCCTTGTCATCTGTGTGCCTAGATAGCTGCAAAGTGGGAATAAAACTAGTAGCGCTTGCTCTGGGCTGCTTGCAATGATTAAATGAGATAATATATGGAAAATGCGCAGAATTGTGTCCAGTATATAGTTGGTGCTCAATAGGCCTTCTTTAGGCTAAGCAAACTCAGCCGTGTGATCCTGGCTTAGTTGTCTAAAATTGCCTCAATTTCTCCATCTTCAAAATGGGCAGGGTTGTTGCAATCTAGTGCTTTTCAAACTGTGGGTGATAGTGAGTTTTGAAATATACTTAATTGGTCATAAAGGTGTCAGGGTGTATCGCATGTTGAATCTTGGTTTTATGAACCTTCTTTCAGTTATATATGCATGGATTTGTGTATACTGGGTTAGGCTTTGAAATCCATTTTGTACTGAGGGTTGAGATCAAAAAAGCTTAAAAAAAGGGCATGATCTCTGCAACTTACTCTCAAATAGGAAAAAAAATTATATATGTATAAATGTATTTATATACACATATATAATTATGTATGTTATATGTTATATATACACACACAGAGAAAGATAAAGCAAAAGCAAGCATGAGAATTGCGGTCTTGCAACTTTCCTAGATGTCTCAATTTTTTTCAAAATAAAAAATTAAGAGACAAATATAAAGTAAGGAATTTGTAAAAAAAAAAAAAAAACAACAAAACGAAAAACAGAAGAAGTTTGGAAGTACTTTCCAAATGCTCTTTTTTCCAAAGGTAAAAATCTGTGAATTCTAAAACACTACTGTTTGGTATGGTCGCCTACTAGTCACATGTGGCTATTGAAATTTACATTTAAATGCGGATTGTGTTAAAACAAAAAATTTTGGAAGGGCGCCTGGGTGGCTCAGATGGTTGGGCGTCTGCCTTCGGCTCAGGTCATGATCTCAGGGTCCTGGGATCGAGTCCCGCATCGGGCTCCCTGCTCCTTGGGAGCCTGCTTCTCCCTCTGCCTTTCTCTCTCGCTCTGTCTCTCATGAATTTAAAAAAAAAAAAAAAAAATCTTTAAAAAAAAACAAAAACAAAAACAAAATTTTGGAGAAAAGTACCATTCGTCTGTAGAAAGAGCTTAGCACAGCACTTGGCCTATAAGAGGTTCTCAATAAATGTCACTAATCAGCAAAAATAGAACACTAATGGGCACCCTTGTAGTGAGCCTGTGTCGAAGCTCTCACTCTCCAGGAGGACATTTTTCTCCCCCAGAATACCCAGAATTTACTAGGGTCCGTTTTAACCATTGGTAGTTAACCAGTGCCCGCATTGGCCCCCTGGAAGCCCCCGCTGCTCCCTGATGTGTGAGAGTACAACACAGGTTTTGTGTCATTCCCTTAAGAAAGGTGGTCACACAGGATGGGGACACCGGGATTTATCATTTTCACGCTAGAGAGGAGACTGGGGTCCAATCAGGGAAGGTGTTTCCTGTGGTTCCTCAGCCAGTAAGTGGCACAGCTGGAACCCAGGTCCATGGAGCAGTAAAGTCTGTGCTTTTGTGTTGATAAAACACCAGGG